TGCATTCCAATGACCAGGAGCCCTTAACTTGAGACAACCTAAAATGAGCCTAGAAACTTTTGTTTCGACCATTTGAATTCATCTAATTTTCAAAATGACCAAATTCTTGATTTGTTTTCATTCCGAACACTTGTTCCGACCATATCACTCGACCCAATCCGATAACTATGTGTGGTAATTGATTTTGCGTGGAAAAAGATAAAAACTAAAACACAAGTGTTTCAATTTTTTTCATTTGTTTTCACGCAAAATCAAGTACCACAAATGGTCATCGGAATAAGTCGATCGATATACCAAATTGAAACCCTTTCGGCGCTCATTTGATTGAAATTGAAATGTTTTCAACAAAAGTCTTGGTATTTAGAAAAACTGGTGTAAAGTTTATGATTTATATCAAATTCGAACAAACAAAGCGAGCAAGCAGGCTTACAACAGCTTTATTATGCTTTTTTAGCGCCGTTTTTCAGCGCCAAAATTTTCAAAAAATTTCAAGAGCTTGCTGCAAAAATTGAACAAAAAACATGAAACTTTAAAAAAAAAATTTTGATTTTTTTGTGGCATTTTTCAATGAAAATTTTTGTCGAATTTGCCTATAGCACTACGACTGTCGAAAATATTAAAATTACATTTTTACTTCGAATCCTTTGATCACACCGCGCAGAAAAAGCTCTACTAAATTAAGAAAAGAATTTTTTTTGTGTTATTTAAAGATTATGACCAAAACATTCTGTGCTCCTTGCACAGTAACTGGCTGTCCTCGTTATGAATTGAATTATGATGATTTCATTTATTAATGTTGCGAGCATTTGAAAAAATGGGAAAAACATTGTATTTGGTTTTATTTTTTATTTTTTTTGTCCTTTTGTTTTTCGCGCAAAATCAGGCTCAACAGATAATCTTTGGACTGCGTTGAGTGATGCATTTGATGAAATCTTTGTTAGTTGCGATTCGAAAGACTATAGGAAAATACCAAAAAAATACCCTGTCGAGAAAAACTGGTTTGAAATTTTTTTTGTCTGACTTTGACCGAGAAAACGCTTATTTATGCACTGAAAATTACAATAATTTTTTTATGCTTAATTTCAGCCATTGATACTTTCTTTTGAGTAAAATTAGTTTTTAGAGCTTTATTTTTGCCGTTTTGGGTATAAAATTTTTGCTGTTTTGGGTTTTACCGTTTTGTGCAATTAGTTGGGTTGTATTTACTGCTAACTAGTCTGAAAGTAATTATGAATAACAAAACAGTTAAAAAACTGAAATTTCAGTTGTTTACTCGAAGTGCACATAAGATATTTTAAAATGAAAGTTCTCAGATCTAATTTAAGATCTGAATTTTGGTTTTTCAAGGTTATTGCACACCTAAGAGTTTCAATTTCAGATCTAATTTTCAGATCTGGAATTCAAAAACTCTTATCAATGATTTGAAATAACAAACTTCAGATTTGAGAATCAACTAACGAAATAAGTGATATGAAATAAAAACAAGACTGCTCGTATCAGAGCAAAGCCCTGAATTTTCCGACTGCCGTTTAAGGTTTATTGAGCAGCAGTGATCGCATAAAAAATTTAAATGAAATAAAAAATAACAAATTTTTTTTCTAAAATTTGAAATTTTTTATGAAGACCATCCCCCTACACGCCATATAAAATGCAAAAAGATAGATTTCATTCCTTGTAACAAATCAATTATTGCAAATGAATTTCGTTCAACCAATTTGGAACGGTTTCTAAGACTGATTAAATCTCCGCTTACGCGCGTTAATTGTCCCAAATTGGTCAAAACGGCCAAAATGGCAATCTTTAAACCCTCACAACCTTACAAAATAATCACAGGTGAAATATCTTTTCAAATTTAAGCTCAAGACAACAATACCTTTTGAATGATGTAAAAAAAAATCCGTCAAAAATGGCTAGTTAAAAAGTCGAAATTTGTCTGAAGAAAAAAACCCACCCCGAGCACAAATATTCCGTTACTTTCGTATCGAAAGTCGGAATAAAAATTCATATCTCGTTTAGTTTGGCGTAGTTTGGCGTTTTATACGCTACATAAAATGTGGTTTGGATATATTTGGACCAACAGACTAATTGATGTTCATGGTTTAAAAGTTTTTCGATTATATAAATATTTTAATTAAAAAATTTTTCAGCAAAATGTATTGAAGATGATACTCTACAATCAGATTAGTTAACAAATTATTGCTCAAAACATGAAATTGTTCAACTTGAACTTGTTTTTTTTCCATGCAATGAAACGAATAGGGGAATTAAGTGGAACTCGTATTATATCTGACGCTGAATTAGTTGATGGATTTGATGATTCAGTGGTCCAATAGTATCGCAAATAACTTAAATGCTGGACAAAAGCAGCTTTTTAAATCATCTAAGTGAAGATTTTGACTTGAATAATCATTCGCCGTTGAGCAAAAATGAATTCGTTTCGCAAATAAGAGAATAATAAAATGAACCCGCACTATGTTGCATGGGTAATTATCGATTAGTTTGGATTTTCATTGTCAGTCTTTGTAAAGACCACAATTAACCAAATAGAATCAATTCTAAATGGTGTGTAAAACTACATTTTGCCGAATTAAAAAATCATTGTAATTAATTATATTCAATTTTTATGGTTATAATCATTTTTTCAATAATTTTTTCGTACACAATGCAGTATATTCAAAACTTAACAGTTGCTTTTACAGTTACCTAACAGTTACAACGAGATTCTCATAATTAACTCTTCATTTACATCCCCCATTCACACCACCGCCAACGACCTCCTTGCCCGCGCATTAACCCCACAACTCCCTTTAAGCCTTATTTACGACATTTTCGGGGAAAGGGCGGTGGTGGGGGTCTGAGAGGGATTGTAATCGCCGAGGGGGTTTGGGGTAAAGATTAATTGCGGATGGGAGTAGATTTGGATTTTGAGCAGGCTTTGAATGTAGTAGAAAATAATGAAAGTTTTGCAAATAGTGGTGCAAGAAATTTAAAACTTATAATCCATAACCATCAGTTATAATTGATTTTAAATGTATTAAAACTGTAGAATTATCTCGGGGAGTCGTCTCCTTACAGTACGCTTTCACTCCACTTAACGGCAGCAGAGTTTCTTCCCAGTACACCGTGCAATAGCGGGCGACACTAAGGCACGATACTATCCACAATACCGAAAGGGTTATGTTGGTGGTCAGACTACCTTGGTTTATGCTTTTTTCGGCTCTCCTCTTGCGTTTCCAGCTAGATCAGCAAATTGTGAGCACAATAAGTAAGTTCTCAATCGCAAAAGAAACAAGCAGTTTACAATGCTCTTAATGAGCTAACTTTTATTTAACAACTTCTACAACACGAAGACCGCATTTCGCTCCGTTCAATCGCTTTGTTATCTCACTCGCCAAACTTCGCTTGACTCGATTCAAAACTCGCTTACTCCAGCAGCGCAACTCGCTCACATAAATTGTTCAACCCAGTACTAAACTTGGTTCCAAACAGCTAAACTAATTAACTAACAAATGTGAGACACATCTAGCCTCGCTTCAAGCAATCGCGTTGTCCACTGACCAACTAATCTTCTCGGTTTGCTCAATCATTCTCTCTCTAACCGAGAACTAACCGTTCGCTCTCTTAGCACAAGTATTTCAAATCTCGAAGGCTCTCCGGTACTTTCCAATTCCTTAGATTTCTTTAAGATAAGTCTAAGTTAAGTCACGCCATTTACTATCAGTCATGGTATCCGCTTAAATCAACTGTCCGCATATGTTTTATGATTGCATCACTCCCCTTTTCAACTCTGCCACATGCCATATTCGGTTTCTTTGATCAATCTTTTAACGCTTATTAGATACCCGGTATGCGGCAGCTGTCACACTTTGTTCAAGCAAACAATTGTCATACGATTCTATTCTACTAAATTCTGACCTCGAGTTCACCTCAAACTCCAAACCTTACTATGTTTACTCAGTGACCCTCCATGGTCTTTGTTTTATTATCCCGATAACATTCCGACTTCCCGGGGGTATGGGGAGACCCTTTTCGTGGGAGCTAATTCATTTCAGGCATCAAAAAATTCTATCTGTACTCTATTCCAATCCTGACCCTTTAGCTATCAGAGGAGCGTAGCTTGTCTAATAGGGGTCAAAATAAGCCAAAAAGTCACCTCCGGGGAGCCAAGTAATTTCTGTTTCCGTTAATACTTTTTAGGAGAGCTAATTCTCATGCCGCGGTCCTATTACTATCATTTTTTTCTGTGACTATTTTTCTTTAGTCTGGTTGAATTGCTATTATAAGATCATTTGCCAAGCTAAGCTGAACTCAATATTTACCAGGGCCGTTTTGAATTGTCAGTTTTTTCAAAAACCGTCAGTTTTTTCAAAAAATATAACCATATATAATCAATTATAACTTATTTTAGTTTTTACAGAAAATTTCTTCAATTCGACAATTATTGATAATTATCTCTGATTTCGTCAAAATGTCATATCATAAAATTTTCTGATTTTTAATCAATGGGTTATCAAAATGCAGTTCTTAACAAAATTTCTAAACGTGAGATGTTTTATTGTCACCTTTTGGTTCATCCAAAAAAAAAGAGTTTGGGATGAACATCTTGATCAGATTGCCATTTTTCTTAATTTTGTTTTAGCTAGCAATCAAAAAATCATGTGAAGGCCAAAGTATAGGAAGAAGCTAATATCAAAAATTTATATATTCGGTTTATATATTTTTTTTTTACAAAATCAGCATTTACATTTGTACTATCTCAAGTGAGACTGCGGTTGAAACTCGGCCAGAGTCTTCCATAACAGTTTTTAATCAAACATTATCCTATGAAAAGGCCTCTCTAAAAACCTGTGACTGAAAAAAACTGATCAAATTGAGAAAGGTTTGCGTTCTAACAGTATCATGTTTGTTTAGTATGCAAGAATATTCTTCTCTTGAACGATGTTTAACGATTAGTTTTTTGCTAATAAGATCGCAATTTAAAAAATCAACGACCAATCAAATGAATAGAACTCGGAGTGTAATTTTTTGGAGTATAACAATTTGTTTAATTGCTTTGTTCGTACAAACCCACATTCTTTGTTTCTAGAAGTTGATTCTCGTTTTCTAAGAAAATGATGTCGTCCTTCAAGATTTCTTTGTAATATCAAGTATTGAATTTCTCTATCTTTCTCCAATATATAACTCCAATACTTATTATAATCCAATATTCTCGACTTCCTTTGTTTTAACAAAAATGGAACATTTACAATTATTACTCGCTGCATTTTTTATTACAAACCATCAGTTTGTTATGTCAAGTAAGTGATCATGATAAATAATCAACTTGGATTTTGAAATTATACTTTTTTGCACGCGAGATGCAAGTATTATATAGGGCTATTTTTCCTTCTCTCCCCACCTGCGATGTTCAAAAGATGAAAAGTTTTCATAACATGTGTCACGGCTATTCAAGAATTTCAAAATTTTCATGAAATTGAGTTTTTTTTGTGCTCGGATAAAAAACGCATAAAAGACGGCTCGGAAAATCGTAGTCGGCTCGGATAAAAGACGGCTCGGAAAATCAAAATCGTAGTCGACTCGGAAATCATAGCGGGAAAATCAAAGCCGGCTCGTAACCCGGTTTTGGCAAAGACGATTCGGTGACCCTAAAAGATCCTCGACAATTTTTTTACATATTAACCCCCCAAACTTACATATTGTTTAAATTGTAGATCCGCGCTGCGTGCTTGTATCCGTCTAAGCCCTGAATGGTACTTAGCCCCTTGTTTAGCTCCCATGATCTATATAGTTATCATTTAGAAAGAGCATTGCTGGTTGCAGCAAATGGTATAAAATTCGAAGGATTGACTTCTACTTTATACGTTTTTTTTAAACAATTGAGTATTATCATCCAATCTAGATATTTAGATTCTTTTTTAATCTTAGGGTTTTTTCAGCTTACTCAAAAATTGATAATGGCATTGAGAATCTCAAAAGTCAACTCAGCGGCGAAGAGTTCAAAATAAAGGCAGGCAAACAGTTCAAGTTCAGCTGTGTGGCCAAGTGCGACCCTAAGTGTGACATCAAATGGTACAAAGAGGGCGAGGAGGTCATCTCGGGTCAAACAATGACTCACAAGCACTTCGTCAGCAGCAGCTCCTATCTAAATGATATCTCAAGTTTCCTGTTGTAAGTTACTGCTAACAAAAGTTAATTTCAGTGATGCTGTCAGTTTTTTGAAAAGTTGGATTTCGTTTCAACTAAGATCTTTTAAACAACGGCTGCTTCTAAAAAAGTTCTTAGGGTGATCAGATACTGAAACCACACTAACAAGAATTTTTTCTACAATAGGTTTTCGTCGCGAAATAGTGACAGAATTGATCTCGTTTTTTTTCTATGAGACTTGATACTAAACTTAGAATCTTCTTGGTGAAAAAAGAGAGACGATTTCGTGAATAACTTTGTTTATATTTCAGCGTGAACAACTTGAACAAATCAGATGCTGGTCAGTACAATTGCAAAGCGATCAACATGATCAACGGGGGAAAAGAAGGGCGCTTTCTACCCGAACCAATTACTCTCATAGTTCTAGGTAAAATAGCTCATTTTGGCGTGATATTTGTGAACTTTTCTCCTTGTCTCAAAATGATTCCAGCATCAGGGGCTTTTAGTTACGATCAGATCCTTGAGAAATGTCAATGCGTGAAAGTTATCAAAATACATGAAGATTGCAGTTACTCTGATTATTATTTCTTTATTATGGTTTTAATGTTTCAGCTCCGCCGGTTTTCACTCTACAACCAGCGAGCATGCAGATCAGCAGAAATAAAGAGTTCACACTGTCGTGTAATGCTTCCGGACCCCCTGACCCCGTGACTGTCTCGTGGTTTCAGAATGGCAGAGAGGTCAAGTCAGTCGAGCCCCATCAGTGTGCAAAAAACAGCGTAGCTCAGCTGAGAGTTCAAGAAGGTACGTAAGAAAAACTCTTGATCAAGTTTATGCTCCCATTTAACTTTGATTCCATTTAATTTCAGTTTTTCTGCATCTTTGATCTGTAATTGGACTTTTACTTACAATATCTTCAGTTAAACTTTCGCCAAGATCACTAAAATTCCACCAGGTAAAGATTTGTCAATAGATAAACATATATATAGTGCTAGGAACGGAAGATCCTTAAAGAATTTCACAGACTTTTCTATGAATGGATCTACTTAACAATATCTCCCTCTTTCAGGGGGAGATTCTTTAGTAGGTACAATAGGGGGGAGATTGTTAAGTTGATCCCTATGAATCCTAAAATTAGGAACTGAGAAACGTTTGAGATGCAAGATTGCAAAATTTTTTTAATAAAGGACAAATTTCTATTTTTTTCAATTTCAACTTGCATGAATGAATCGTTTGAAAGTGTCCAATCATTGATCCTGAAAAGACACTTGCATGTTTCATTTCAAAAGTGTTACTTGATCGAAGCTTAATTAGTATAAGTTCGGAGTTAGTGCAGAGATGGAAACCTTTTCGCCATTTTTATTTCCCGATGTTTATTTAATGCAATCTGGTTTTAAAGTGTAGAGAAAGATCAATTTACACCATAATTAGAAGTCATAAACAAATTCTTTTCAAATTGAGCTTTTAATTAAATTCCTTTATTTAAATTCTTTCATCTAATCAATCACTTAAACTAAAAAAGAACGTTTTAGTATTTGTGAGAATCCTCTTTCATTTGTTATTTTAAGCGCTTCGTATTTACTTTTTTTGTTGATTTTTTTAACCGTTTTTGAGCGTTAGTTTTGAATTCAAATTTCAACCCACCGTTATTTTTTGAAATTTTAAGTCAGCTTGGGGACGCTGTGTTTGTCGACCGACACCTTCTCTCGGAGTCAGGACTCTGATATTTGTTTTTTAATCAAGATGCTAAGATTTAAAACTTCGAACTCAGCGAAGATGTAGTTATTTATGGAAGAAAGTTTTGTTTAGATGATTTGTAATGTAAGGTTTTCTATATTTTTTTAAATCAAGATTTTACGATGAAGCGATATTTTACTAATTCGAAACAACATTTTAAAAAGATCAAAAGCATATAGGAACTCCGAAACTGTAGTTAAAGAGGTTCTTAATGTTATTGAAAGTTGGTATCATAAACCTGAAATGCCAAGCTCTAACATGGTAAAACTTTCTATTATTAAAAAAATAAATATTTCACAGACTGTTGAGCACCTTAATTGGTCAAAAAACTGTCGTTTTAGGTTAATTAAATTTTCGGATGTGTTTTTTATACGTGCTCGAATGAGTGAAAAATTGATCGCAGACATCAGTTTTAGATTAACTATTAACTAAAGTATTAATTAATTTAGTTTAGATTCCTCGACCGAAAAGGACATTGCCAACAATTTGGCATTAAATGTACTATAGATGAATTATTGTCATTCCATAGATGAGAGCAAAAAGCTAGCAAAATCTTTGCACCCATCTGACGTTAGATTGTTTTTCAGGAATAACCGAAACTACTAATTACTCCTGCGTGGCTAGCAACTCTTTCGGCCAAACGACCACTTCAGCTGTTGCAGTTGTGCAGGCACTGACGGTCCCCGGAGCGCCTTCGATCGAAGTGTCAGAGGTGGAATCGACTAGTGCTATGTTGAGATGGTCATACGGGTTTGATGGGTACTCGCCGATATCTTCTGTTATTATTCAGGTAAGTTAAGAGCGAGAAAGAGAAATGAAATATTACGTTTGAAGTAATTGATATTTTGAAGTTTTTTTTTTAAATTTCAAATAGTTTTTAATTGCACCATCAGTTTTCTATTTAGTTTTCGCAAAAGAAATTTAGTAAATGCATCCAAGAATGACGCATCCTGTATAGTTTTTAAAACTGCGCGACATGCACCCTATTTTGTTTTAGTACGGGGAGGTTGCTCATCCGGACGACATGATCACATTTGTTGTTCACAACACTAGCAAGACTAACGTTAAGCTCTACCCCCTGAAGCCCTTCCACGACTATTTCGTCAAAGTGAAGAGTGTCAACTTAATTGGCGATAGTAATTGGTCAAAGCTGACGAGATTCACTTCTGCTCAAGACGGTGAGTTCAAATTTGGACTGCTATGGTTTAAAGTTTTCAGAAACACTGATTTATCGGTCTAAACCTAAAATCACGGGATTATCACTATGTTTTATTGAAACCTCGAGACATTTTTTTTTCATATCTGATCCTCATTCAATTGCAAAACTAGTGATCAGCAAAATCGAAAATCAAATTCAAATGGTAAATTCAAACATCTAGGCCTCGTATCGAAACTTAGCAATTTTTGCCTTCTTTCGGACAAGCTAAAAAAATAGGCACACTTTGGTTTAGTTCCCGGTCCCCCCACTGCAGTGCAGACCTCCGTTGACGATGTCTCTGGCAGATCGGTGCTAATTTGGGAGCCCCCCAAGAGACCAAATGGAGAAATCACGGGATACATCATCGAGATCAGAGAACCCAAGACTCAACCGGTTAGTTGAACTGGCTCCTGGAAAATACTTTGAGCTGTTCTCAGAAAAATTCGGATCTTTTAGAATCTGGTTTTAAACAAAAAACGTGTGGTTTCTTGTAACGAAGGCACTTATTCGATATTGAACTATCCAAGATGGTTAGAATTGCATGATCAGTTTTTTCCATCATTGAAATTTGAAATTGTATGATTAGCTTTTTTTTTCAACCCCCTGACTAATTTTTATCATTAGGGGCACGGGGTGGGTTTCATTGTCAACCAGATCCTAAATTCAACGCTTCAGCCCCATTTAAAAAGTTACTCGTTTTTAGCCGTTTTGGTGTCATTCTTTGTTGTTTCATGTTCAAGTTAGACTGCCAACCTCAAACATATACGATGAAGCGATATTTACATGGGTGAATTTTTGACTTCTAGGCAAATTTGCTCAGCGTTCAAAGTTCAAATCAGTACAAAAAACTGTTTGAAGATCAAAGAATCGATGGCGGGCTTGTGCAATTGCATCAGATTGTATTTATTACCATAACGTACCAACTTTAATTTATTACACTATTTTCAAAGATTATCGGATGAAGCGGATACTCTTCTGAACAAAAGTACAACACTGATGTTGTAGATCAGAAACAATGATGTTGTAGATCAGAAACAATTTTGTCCTAATTGCTTAAGCATGCAGCAGCCGGTCGCGCAAAATGTTTCCAAATTTTTTATTAAATTCTAGGCAAATTATTGATTTTTCATCTCGTTTTCATCAGTTTTGTTCCTATGCAATCAGCGAGTGTTTGCACTGTTCTGCTACAATTCTTGTCCGATAGTTTTTTTTGACTCGAGACAAAAAATGGAGAAAAACACGCTTAAGTAAACATATCGCTGGAGCCTAGATCCAGGTGAAGCACTTGATTGAAGTTGAGTGGAGTACCACGTGATACAATTAACATGATTCCTTCAAGTCACGTGATTTACTGCAGCATTTTAAAAAATCGCTACTGTAGCAAAAAAAAAATCTAAGGCGCAATGATAGAACCCAGCTCACAGTGCTTCAAACGATTGAAAAAAGAAAAAGAGCCCCAATTTTATGTTTAAAACAAACCGAAGGCGGATTTAGCCCCCCAACCCCCAGGTGTTTGACCTCCACCCAAGTTTTGACTTGTTATGGAGAGCTTTGAAAATTAATTTGCTCTATCTGAAAATGTCGACGAAAATGAAAAATCCTAAATCCGCCCCTGAAAGAATCTAAAAAACCAAAATCAAGACTTCGTCATTTAAATGAAAACTCACTTTCATCCACATTTTCTAAGATTTGACAAGATTTTTGCCTTCAGCTGAATTTTGATAATTATTTTCTAATAGAGCTTAAAAAAGACCGATGAAAGGATTTTAATTTGATAACACATTCGTTGCCCTACGAACACTGAACTGTTTGGGGTAAATGATTTTGTGTCAAAAAATTCCAGCATAGGCCCAAGATTTTTCCGGGCTCACCAAAAGTCAATATCTTTTGAACTTTTCCTATGAGAATCTTGCCACGTTGTCACCTATTTAACATTCGGTTCTAAGAATATTACAAAAAAAGACTTTTTTGTATACAAACAGTTGCAAGATAGCAATTTTTGCAACAAAATTTTGAAAATTTTTCCAATTAATAACAAAAAATCGTATAACCAGAGAAACAAATTCAACTGCTGCCTGAAATCAAGGCTTGAAATCACATGTGCAAAATTAAACCATTAGTAACAGGAGCGAACCTAATGAAATGCATCTCACACGATACCTAGATTGACATTACGAGGCCAAACTGTGCATTTTTCCACAAAAGGCCAAAACCAGATTTGTCGCGGAATCCGCAACTTTGCTACTTTTCTTTGATCTTCTTCGCTGTTTTGGATTCCACAAACAAATACCTAAAATAATGTACCGGTCAAAATCGCTCCGAAAGTAGGCGATTTTGCGGAAACCGCAACCGTACTTGCAAAATCCAGAACAATTTATGGAATCCACAAACAAACTATAAGACATTTATATAGTTAAATTGAGGTGTTGCGGAATCCGAAACTGTAAGCGGAATCCGCAGCGTGTCAGTGGAATCCGCAAAATGTAAGTGGAATCCGCATTTTATTTGCGGATTCCGTTTACATATATGTATATGTGTAGTATAGTTTTAAAAATATATCTTTTATTTACTGGTCAACAAAAAAAAAATTGATCTCAATTACTATATTGATCAACTACCAAATGAAACGTTTGGTCACAGTTACTGCCAACCCAACTTCGATCTCAAATCCTGTCAACTTCAATCTCAACTTCGATCCCAAATACTGACCAACTGAACTTCGATCCCAAATACTGACCTACCGATCCCAAATACTGACCTACTTCTATCTGAACTTCGATCCCAAATACCGATGCAATCCCAAAAACTGACCAATTCGGCAATATGCTGTGCGCTGTGTTTCTGAACACTCTCAAGCCATGGACTTCAAAATTTTTAATTTATTCTGCGTTAAGCTTCCAAAATCAGTATTTGGGATTGACGAAATCCCAAATACTGACCTAAATTGGCGATATGCTGAGGAGTGTTGTATTTCCATACACTCTCAGCTCAATGAGTCCAAAAATTGAACTTATTCGGTGTTGTGTTCCCAAAATCCACCGCTTTAGTTAACAAATGTTTTGAGATTTGTTCGTGGATTCCGCTGACAATGGTTAAGTCCTTGCGTTTAAATTCCGCATTGCTATAGATAAGAATTCCAGCTCTAGCTTTCAATTATTCGTATGCAAGTTTCGGAATAGAAAAAGTTCTGAATCCACTTACAATTTGCTGAATCTGCTGACATTTGCGGATTCCGCTAACATTTTGCGGATTCCACTTACATTTGCGGATTCCAGTTGCATTTTGTGGAATCCACTTACAGTTGCGGAATCCAGAATAACTAGCTATATTCGCTTGTTTCGGAACCCGCGCCACAACAAATGGGCCAGCAAGATTTACGTTATAGGTATTTGTACGCGGAATCCACTGAAGTTTTGTAAGTGAAATCCACTGACATTTTGGAACATGTTTGAAAGTTTGTCTATGGAATCCAGGATCATACAGACACAAAATTGTGCGCCTATCCAGTGCAAAGTTTGGCCTCGTAATGGAGATTTTTTGTCAAATAAGATCCACATAATAGTACGTGCAAAACTATATGACACGAGTGATCAAAGCACTTGTTTAATTGACACGAAATTAATTTTCCAATGGCGAAACTTGTGCATTCTATATCAAAAAAAAATTTAAGAAATTACATTTTTTGTTGGAAAATTTTGTTCGAACAGCATAAACGATAACTATGAGAATCTGAAAATTTATGACTAAAATTGATTAAAATTTTTTGAATTTTTAAGTTAATTTTACTGTGCTCTTTATAGCAACGGTAATTTGTATACGCGGTTAAATGTTCGATAATTAACATGAGTTCGAGTAATAGTTTGCTCAATCTTTTAACTTTTAAAACATTTTTTGGAAACATACTTTTTAAATACTGAAGTATTGAACTTCTAAGTTCACAATGAGGGCATACATTTTATAGCTCCTTGCTCATGTATCGAAAAATTCGATGAACCTAAAACATGTCAGGTTCGTAAATCGTGTCAGCAATATATTTTTAACGTTTCAGCAGCAACATATAAGAGACGCGGGTTCTAGGCAGTTCTATCTAGACGATATTACTTGCAAGGATTATACTCTGAGAGTGATGGCACAGTCAAAAAGGGGAACAAGCGAGGGAGCGCCAAACCCTCCTTTGAGAATAGTCGACGGGATGTTGTATATACCATTAGGTAAGGATGTCTGATAGTTGAAGTCTGCTACTCCCCTTGAGTTGTCATGTTTTTTAACGTTCAATGAGTTAGAGAAACAAAATATGTTAATTCTTACAGCTCAAACCAAAATGAATCCCCGTTTCATTTTTTTAAAATGGAACCAACAGAAACCTGAAACCTGAATCAATTTTTTGTGCTATTTCATTTAGCTCTGGTTTAGCTATTTTTTTTGCAGCCAAAGCCGTTCAGTCTATGTCATGAAACGACTTTTTTGTGTGAAAAATTAGGATAACAATTGTCGAATGTGCTCCTACAGTTTTTCGATTTATTTTCAGGTCTACAGACCTTCAAAGACCATCTGAAGGACATTCTGAGAGCGAAACCAGAGGTCATCCTAATAATCGCCCTCTGCTGTCTTCTGCTGTCGGCCATTAGTGCCCTGCTGGTGTGTTGTTGTCGGTCCAAAGGCAAACAGAACGTTAAACAAAACAGGATTCCGCCCCATGACTTGAGTTTGATCAGACAATTGCCCCTTCACGCTCACATATCGACTAGATCTTCTCCTAGGTTAGCTAAATGATGCCCAGATTACAAATAAAAAAATTTAAAAAATCAGATTTTTACGATAAAAATATAAGACGACCACAAAAAAATCAGAAAATTTTGGTTGCTGTGCAAGTAGCAGAAGATATTCCGAACGGTTGTTTTGTATAAAGCGTAGGAAAATGATAAAAATCATGTTTCTGAGATAAATAAATATCAAGTGTCACTACTCTTTGCTTCAAGTTTGACTGAAAATCAAAACTCAAGCTTGATTTTCTCGACACAAGAAAATTTTTCCGTTTCAAAAGTTTTAAAAATGTCAAATCACGTATTAAATAGCTCTTGAAATTTAACTTAACCCCTACGACGTGTTTTTGTGGCTTGCGTGAAAAACGCACTGGAAGCTTCAGATTATTCTTCTCACTTTGTGATCGGAACAAAAACAGGAAAGCCACAAACACTTTATGTAAAAAGCAATTATTCTTTTTTTAAACATTAGTAACGTTCAAAAAATAAGAAAATAAGAAAAATTTTAACATCAATATGTTTTCAGTAGCGTCACGAGCTTTCCGATGTACCAAGGAGACAACTTGACTTCTGCCAGCTCCTTAACTCCAGGAAGTCAATATTTGAACCGGGTCAGAACCGAGACCGGATCCAGCTCAGGTAGCAACATGCACCCCACAAGTGGACTCCGAACTTCGACCATCCGAGATAGCCTCCACGACAGTATGAATTTGTACGAAATAGCGATTGGAGTCGGAGAGTCGAATCCTCCGCCACATCAGACGTACAGACGGTCGGAGTCATCCCCAGTGCAGCCTATTAATAGTAATTACTGTCACGCATACAGTCGGTTACGTCACAACTCATTCACAGGTAAATTTAAGTTTAAATTTTTAAACTAACGATTCAGTTTGCATGGTTGATGGGCCGTTGATTCATGTTTTTCCAGTAGTTCTTCTGATCCTGTTGGTTCCTTTTTTCTGATGAACGGGAACTAATTGCGATGGAAAATTAGCCCCAATTTGCAAATATTTTGAGATGATGATATAAACCACAGAAACTTGATCTTGATTTGGACTGCGTAATTTCTGCATGATTAGCTTGCTGATTAAATTGTCTTGTAGATTAGTATTCTTGTGCTAGTAGATCAGTTTGTAGATTTGGTGACGGTTGTTTCAGCCCTGATAAAGAGGTGTTTGGGTAAAAGTGGCAAATCAGATCGGTTCCTTGATGTTGAAAACCAACCTTCCTCCCTTAACCCACCCCACCGTAACTCGTCACCATCCAGTTCGGCGCGAACTGTGAAATCTATCTCTTACTCCCCTAAATCGAAACTGACATCCTCACCCGCCGCTAAGAACTCAGTTGGACATTCATCGCAATATGTCGCTTGTTCGGCTCCCGAAGATGCCGTTAAGCATACATGGCATCCTGAAAAATGTGCGTATATTTTGGTACAAAAGGTACTAAATATCAAACACTGAACTTCTTTCACCCTTTGTGTTGTGTGCCAATAGCTTACTTCCCCGGCCTTTAGAAGACTGATCTCAATTATTTATTACCTAAACCAAATCCAAATGATACAGCTTTGGTTCTAGTGTATTGAATGGTTTTTAAACGAATGAAACAAATAAGAAAATAATAAAGATTTTAGAAAACAGTTTTTCTACTGTAACAGTACGGCAACAGTACTGATTTTCTCTCCAAGATCAATCCTGGTTGCCTAATATGCTGGCGAAAGACAGTGCAATAAGAGTTTAAAATCTCTTAAACTATCCCCACCCCCCCCCTTTTGATACCTATAAAAACGAAATGACACCTGTATAAAGAACTAATTCAACAGTTAAGCATTTGTGAGCTTACATAGTAAGGACTCCCCCTTTAGCGCAAAATGGGAGAAATAGTTAAGAGATTCATAATTTGAGCTTATTGCTTTATTTGTTTTTAGTGCTGCAGGCGATGGATCTAAGTCGGGAGATCAAACAGGGTCTGTCAACTGTCCTCATCGACATCTCAAGACTCAAACTGGGAGAAGTGCTAGGAGAAGGTGAGTCATCTTCACTAAAGAAGCTTTTAAACTTGAAGTTATAATTTCCCAAGTAGCAAAATAGTAGAAACAGCTCGTATGACGGGTCTTTATTTGTCAAAAGATACACCTTGATTGAAAAATTGACTCTGTTTTTATTCACGCCAGAGTTCTAGCAAAAACACAACTGAGTTCTTCGATGATAGAAGTTTGGTTTTTAGTGTCAGTTAGATCAGAAGAAAGACTTGTTTTTGTAAGAAACCTGCTTCTATAGTTTTGTTTCTTTTTATAGGCGAGTTTGGATGCGTGATCAAAGGAAACTTAATGGAAAAATGTGGGAAGGTGAAAGAGGTGGCAGTGAAAACTATCAAAGGTCAGTGTCTTATTACTAATCTGATGGGGTTAGTATCTTTATAACTCAGATGATTTTCACTCAAGAGCCCATTTCAGAAATCATGTCTCGAGATGAGTTGCGACAGTTCATCGGAGAAGGAATTGTGATGAAAGAATTCAAACACCCGAACGTGTTGAGTCTAGTCGGTATGTTCATTTCAATCCTTCTTGTGTCCATAAAAAAGTCTTACAAGAATATTAAGCAAAACTTTTGCAGGAGTTTGTCTTGAGGAGCAACAAGGATCTCAAGTGAAGCCTTATGTCGTTCTTCCCTTCATGAAGCACGGAGATCTGCATACTTTCCTTCTTGAGTCGAGGACTGGTAAAGATACCATGGTAGGTTAATATTTCTCAACCATCTCGAAACAATAGGGTTCTAAACATTTGTTGCTGCTCTGAAACATAATACGAAACCAACACAAAAAAGTTTTCGAATAAGATTCTGACGCATTTTATGTTCTAGAACATTCGTGAATCCTGTCTGCTGGACTTCTGCATCCAGATTGCGGAGGGCATGCGATACCTCTCCTCCAAAAACTTCATTCATCGAGATTTAGCTGCACGCAATTGCATGTAAGTAATACCAACTTGTACATGTTAATCATAACTGTGATTAAAGTTTCACCTATGAGCCACTAAAGGCACTGAATTGAAAAGATTTTTGTACTATTTGGTCTGTTGGAACCATTTAAGTTCTAAATTTATGTGTTTTTTAAGGCTGGATGAGCACTACCGCGTGAAGGTGGCTGATTTTGGACTGTCGCGGAGGATCTTCAGCCAGTGCTACTATAGACAAGGGGGAGGGGCCAAACTGCCTGTCAAGTGGATGGCCCCCGAGTGTCTGGGCGACAGAATTTACACTTCACAAAGCGACGTCGTAAGTTATAACCATGTTTTGTTGGTCTGAAAAGTACCCATTAAAATGAGCTTTTATACTTGCGATAGCAGGTGTCTCTTAATCAGGTACATTTTTTATAACAGCTTTGTCTAAGTTTAAAGCCCGTATTTTGGCGGACGCCCCCTTTGTACTATTTTGAGATATCCATTTTTGTTGACGGACTCTGAAAGTTTAAGGGGGGGGGGGAGCACGCCGAAGAAATGCAATTTTTTGGTCAAATTTTTCCAAAAAGTGCATACAAACGCTTTTTTTGGCCTGTTTTTTTCAAAATTTTGGTTGCGGCGCAGAAATTTTGGCCAAAACAGAGTCTTTGTAGTGCTTTGGGAAAGCTCGCAAAATCAATTGGGTTGACCTAAAAAAGTTGACCTAAAAACAACACACTTTTAAAAATTCAAAAAATTTCTCAAAACATTTTGAATAGATTTCTACGCCATAATTACCAATAAAAAATGATAATGGAAAATTTTGATTTCAATCAATAGAATTTGGATTTCAAGAAATCTCTTAGTTATACGTATCTAGCTTTTCAGAATTTTTTGAAGACAATAAAAAAATCAAGTTTGACGAATCATGTCATATAACTTCGGACGTGTTGTATGTTGGTTTAGATGAATATTGCCAAAAACTTCAGAAGTAGGCATAAAAGTAACTGTAAAGAGTTAGTGCTTAGATCGGTTAACTCTTCTGGTAAATTGTCAACTTTTACTTGTGAATTTCCGTTATAGTAATCTGCGACAACCGGGAATTTTCATGAAAAGTATTTGTAATGAAAAAAGTTCAAAAAACTTAAAGAAAGGGTGGTTATCATATAGTTTTTTGGTAAAAGAAAACCTCTAAATTGTAACACTCTTAGAGCATAAGCTTGTAATATGGTCGCCGGTAGGAATTTTGTTCGCAGGCGTATCATTTATTTTCATAACGTGAGTTTCACATAATTTCACAGTTTTACATTATTTCACGGACTTGAAATGTTTTTTTAAAGAGTAAAATAAAACTTCAGAACAAATTTTTTTGTCCCACTATGGAATTATTTAACAAATTTTTTGCCATACTTTTCATCACAAAAGCTGTATGCAAATACCAAAATCAAATTTTCATTTTATGAAATTGTATGATTAGCAGTCTTTCATAAATAAAAATACAAAGAAAATTTCCTTTGAAAATTTGTCTGTCATCTAAGAAGAAATTAACCACAAAGTTTCTATCATTGGAAAAACCCAGAGGGTAACTGGCAATTACCACGCAGATAAACTGCATTTAGTGATATTAGTGATGTAAATTAATAGTAATAGTTTAAAATTTTACGTTTTTTTGTATATGGCTGTAAAACTTATACGGTAAAAATTTCGGTGGTTGAGGAAAAAAGAATGTTTTTTTTTCAAATTTTGGTGTACCTTAGCCCATGAGACCAAAAAATAATTGTGTTCATAAATGCATTTGAATTTATTTTTTGATTTTTGTTTTTTTTTTTGTGCAAAAAACTCAACCTGGGCTACGTTATAGACCCAAAATATCAAATTTTGCACTAAGTTTTTTTTTCGTGAAAAGCATATTCGAGCTCAAAAGTAAAATTGTAATCAAACGAAAAAAAGTTACCTCACATTTGTAATTTTTTTCTGGAAAAATGCTTTTCATACAAATTTCTTTTATGAGGTTGAAAGATAATCATTTTTTTATTCATTTTCTATGCCAAAGTTGCTCTCATGTGACCAAAACTGCCACCAACTTGTATTGTTTGAGTTTTAAACCAATTCAAGATATGTTCGAAAAAAAGTTTTGAATCAAGAAACTCCTGGGTTGATCATCAACTGATCTTAGAACTTTTTTAGAAGAACAGAACAACCGGGGTTGCCATCCATACAAAAAAATGCCTGTCACAAGGCAGCCATTTTTTTCAGCGCTATGACTTGCTACAATACCTAGCTTGCATGGTGCTCGAGCACCATGCAAGCTAGGTATTGTATCATGTCAGAGCGCTGAATAAATGGCTGCCTTGTGAACATATTTGTTTGTTCAAATGTTTCTGGAGTTTCAAATGTTTCTATTTTGAGATATCCATTTTTGGCTGAAGAACCTAAAATAAAATTCCTCTAAAGGCGCCTTTGGCGCCAAAATATACTAATTTTGAGGCGAGAGCGCGCGCCGAAAAAACGCGATTTTTGGTCAAAGTTTTCTAAAAAGTCCCTAATAACGCTTTTTTGGCCTGTTTTTTTTTCTAAAATTTGCCTGCGGCGCAAAAAATTCTGCCGAATTGGGGTCTTTATTGTGATTTCGGAGAGCTCAGCTAATCAATTTTGTCAACCTAAAAAAAAGGTCGACATATTTTTGATTTTTTTTTCTTCTCGAAAATCCGCCCTTGCCCTCAAGAAAATCCTAAATCCGCCTCTGAACAGGCAAGTAGTTTTGTGTTTTCGAGTTTCTGAAAACGATTTTAAAAAAAACCATTGTGTTTCCTCGAATCACTGTCAGTTTTTGAGTTCCGGATTAGTTATTGTTGTTGTCTTTTGCTAATGATTCAAAGCTCGTCTCCACCTATGTGCTCACTGTTTCAAACTGTTTGGCCTACATCCTAAAATGTTTCGAGTGACCCAAACGTCGACTTGAAAACCTTTCAGTAATCGTTTAAAAAGTGTAACTGTTAAAATTCGGTAGCTGGACAACTTACCCTATTCCATTTTACCTTGTCATTCTACCCTACGCAGTCCTTAAACCGAGATAGGAAGCTATTGAACTATTTATAGAACATAGGGTAGAATAGCATAGGGTAAATTAGCACCGGGTAGATTGTCATGGAACCTAAAAATCTTCTTTTTTTGTGACAGTGGAGCTTCGGAGTAACGATGTGGGAGATCTTCAGCCGGAGTCAGGCGCCATACCCTGGCATCCCCAACCACGAAGTGTACGATCACCTGCAGCTGGGGATGAGACTCAAACAGCCAGATAACTGCCCCACCCAATTGTAAGTCACAGTCACCTGCTTAACAGGCAAAGTGTATTGTACTAACAGGAAGATCTGAAAACTTATCTTCTAAAATAATCAAAAAAAATATTACCTTACGTTTCCTTCTAGTTTTTTTAATTGTCAAAATTTTTTATTTTAAGTGATCTAATGAGTAAGGATTATCAAATTCCTTCTCTGATTTTATGTAATCATTGCAGTTGTAGAAAACCTTGCAATTTGTTTGTATTTTCTGTCAGGTTCTGCATTTTGAATCAATACAAAAACTTAGTTCGTCTTTTTTCTATATAATTTCGAAAAGACTTGTTTGTTAGGTTTGAAATAATGGCCAGCTGCTGGCGTACTAACCCCGCCCACCGACCCAACTTCCTACAAGTAGTGAGCCGACTCGAATCCTACCGCGAATCCACCCGAGCAGTCGCAAACCCAGTCTACATAAACAGCCGATTCTTCGACCAAAACCACACTCCAAGCCATAGCAAGAATGTTCCGACAACTTATAGCAAGAATGTTCCGACAACTTACAGCAAAAATGCTCCGACAGTATATGATCAGAATATTCCGACTGCCTGTAACCAGAAGATGCCAATTCCGCCCTCGGAATTGACCCAGACTTATTCTGTCACCTATTCGCGTTCGTTCATTCCGGAAACTCCCCCTCCAGTTCAGCCAGTTATCAACTCGGCCGAGAGGTTCAACGAGTCCGCAATGTCCTCGGAGATCACAATGTCCCCCCTGAAGAGTGATTATAGTAGCAGTTACGATGAAGTGTACTTAACGAGACAAGGAATGCAGACATTTGTCAGAACGGTTAGTAAAATTTCAATTCTTTTTGAACCATTTTTTACAATTTTTTTTCAAGTTTTATCAAATTGACACCGTTTCAGCCTCGGAGATTGGAATCTTACTCGTGAGAGAATTTTAAATTCACAGTAACTAGAAATTTACGAGAGCCTGTATTCCAGTGCGGAACTTTGATCAATGATCTGAAAGAAAAAACAAACTAACTTCACTGTTTGACCCCATGATTATTTTATAAAATGTTTCTTGCCTTGAGATTTGTTTAGTTTAGTGTGATATTTTATTAACTGCTGTTTCTCTGTAGTTAGATTCAAATTTTCTTTGAATAAAGTTGATTTTGTTGGTGCCTCGAGTAGCAAAACACCATCAAGGAAAATAGTCTCAAAATGCGTGAACAAAAAGACTTTGTACCCAACATTAAGTTCAACAAAAATAATTTGTGCGCAAACATTACAGAATAATTACGGTAAAGTTTTTACTAAAACCATTCATTCACGAGGGGAAATAAACAATGAACAACATACCTGCTGTCCAGTTCTTCACGTAGAACCACTGTTAAGCTTCTGATAAAAAAGCTACGAGCAATTTTTTTCGGCCGGGTAAAGAAGCGAGTGATCATGATGGGCCGCGAACCACCGGCATTCGGCTTTTCGCCCGAGAGGCGGACAGCCCACCCTTAATGCGCTGCTTAAAACACTAGACCATACCGCAAAAGATTAATAAGCCTTAAAAAGCATAGGCTAGGCTATCTATTGTCCAGGAACTTGAAGTAAGGCAACTGATACCTTTTAGGGCTATTCGCAACAGGTTTTTCTAAAGTGAACTCTTTTGGTTTGAAGTTAACCTCGTGTTCAGTGGGCGTTACCATCCTTGAAACATTTAAAAATTGACACTTGAATACATAGCCTTCAACATTTAAATTTAGATAGACAAGCAAAAGAAATCTCATGACGAAAATTGACATTTGATCAAAACTTTCCATCTCAGTCAAAGATATTTTGTTATTGTAAATAATCATGCAAGTAACTGAAACAGACAACAAACATCAAAAGTTCAATTTGAGTGAAATCGAAACAATTAGCTCAAGAAACAAAGCAACGAGCAAATTTGGATTTCGATTCGAAAATCAAACGACGCCAAAAGACCAAAACTCAGTTCAATGAGTAACTACTCCGACAACTACAAACTTTGGAACGCCAATTTTGGAAGCCGACAAAGTGTTGCGGAAGCCGACTTGAACGACTGGCGGTACGAAGAGCAACAAACCAGTCCCAACAGAATGACGAGTTTTCCCTTTCCCGACAGCCAGCCAAACTCGGCGATGCAACCCCGTCACATGAGTTTCTCTCGGTCCAACACTCAAATCCGACGAGACAGTTCGCAGGATGACGAGTTCACTGTTCGGCCCTCGTACACGACTATATTCGCTGTTTGGATCTCGAGTATCCTCGATGACGTCATCGGGTTCGCCTGCGACAAGCCTCATCTCTCGGCCGCGAGTGGTATGCTCCTCATGCTTTCGGCATCTCCGTTCCTCGCAATGCTTGCTGGAACTGTGTGCTGTGCACTAATGGCCGTGCTTTTTCTAACGTGCACTGAAGGTGCACTCATTGCAGTGTTCATGTTCATGTTCGCCTGTTTCGTGATATCGACGGCCATTGTGTCTCTGATGACGCTGATGACCATTTATGTCATTCACGCGACTGTAATGGGGATTTATAACCAAATTGTAGCTGCTAGAGATTGTGTGACAGGAACTGTAAAGAGATACTATTCGCTTATGATCATGCTGAAAAAACGAGACCAAATGGCAGCTGCCGCAGAGAGAAAATCGAGCAAAGAAACCTCGCCGAAATAAATTGACTTGCTAACATGTACTTTGATCCAAAGAAACCTGATTGTTAAAACAGATAGTTAAAATTGAATCACTTCATCACAAGAATTGCAAATTCAGGACTTGATTAGAAATTTAAATTTGAAAATGGTTAACAAGGTTACTATGAACAGCTTCATTTTTCCATAGTTTTAATCAGGGGCGGATCTAAGATTTTTGACGCGGGCAGGGCAGATTTTCAACAAAAGTTCATTCAACAAAGCTTCGGATTTTCAACAAAACTTTGGTCGACTTTTTTACAGTTCGATGACAAAAATCAGTCAAATTTTGAAAAAAAAAACAGACCCAAAACGACGTTTTGTTTGCCTTCGCGTCCCCCTTCCCAAAAATTGGCACCCAAAGCATCCTTAAATCATTTTTAAGATAATCAGCCAAAACTGGATGTCATAAGATAGTACCAAAGGGGAACTCTTTGGGTCGGCAGGGGATTGAATCCCTCAGGGGGAAGGGGTGGTCAAAACTGTCCAAGTAGCCAAAATGCGGAGCAGGAGTACTGTCAAAAGTATTCTGGGATTACTTGCAAAAATCAATCTTTGAACAAAAAGTTGCCAGAAATTTCGAGAAAAAAAATACTAGATCCACCCCTGCCTTCTAGTACACTGGATGATATGCAATATCAGTTTCCGATCAACTCTAGATGTTTACCGGTTATTAATATAATACAATGCTTGTAAGAGATGAAATCAACTCTCTCAAAATCTCAAATTTTGCTGAAATGTTTTTCCAGCCAAGGCAAATTTTAACAAATTGGCCTAAATTTAAAAGAAACCAATTTAATTTTTCGAAAAAACCCGAACAACAAACAACCTCGTTTTTGTTAGGACTTCTGTTTTGCTAAGTTGCAAGAATCGCATTTCTTCTATGCAGTTAACTATCTCTTTTTGTACACCTTTGTGAAACCATCATGCCAGGGGCGGATTTAGGGGGGGGGCGGGGGGGGGGGGGCGGACGCCCCCCCCTCAGGGATTCGACCCCCTGCCGACCCAAAGGGTCCCCCCTTTGATACTTTTTCAGAAATCCATTTTTGGCGGACCGACCCTAAAATTTTTCTAAAGGCGCCTTCGGCGCCAATATATACTAACTTTGAGGGGGAGCGCGCGCCAAAAAAAACGCATTTTTTTTTGTCAAAATTTTTCAAAAAGTGCCCAAAAACGGCTTTTTTGACTGTTTTTTTAAAAATTTGCCTGCGGCGCAAAACAAATAGGCGCAAAACAGTGCTTTGGGAGAGCTCGAAAAATCTATTTGGTCGACCTAAAAAAAAAAAAAGGTCGTCAAAATTTTGGAAATTTTTTCGAAAATCCGCCCCCCCCCCTCGAGAAAATCCTAGATCTGCCCCTGCATCATGCATTGACAAAACAAAGATTGCAAAAAATTAAAATAGGATTAGGCAGATTGTCTTCAATAAAAAAGTAACTGAATATATCATAAGTTGATAATATAAAGATTAAATTGATAAAAAAGACTTTTTATAAAGCTCAGAAAATTTAATCAGGTTGTGTAAAACACAGATTATCATGTCTAACAATTGCGTATTTTACTCTTAAAAAAATCTGGACGAAATCTAAGTATAATCTGTACAGAATCTGTTTATAGTATAAGAAAACTTTCAAATGTCCAGAAGTATAGCAAAAAATGAAGTGTCAGAAAGTTTTGAGATCAAAAATTACTCCAAAAAGTATGTCTAATTACTAACAAGTTGAACACGGTGAAATTATTGCTCGAACTTTTGAAGAAACTGACGGAATATTTGTGCTCGTGATGGTTTTTTTGGCAGACCAATTTTGATTTTCTAACTAGCAGCTTTTGACGAAAACTTTTCATATCATTCAGAAGGTGTTGTTGTTCTGAGATCAAACTTGCAAAGTTGTTTTACCCGTGATCAATTTACGTAAGTAGATTTATGGGGGTTGGAAGATTGCCAGTTGGGTCATTTTGCGACAATTAATCTACGACAACTTTAAAAAAAAAACATCAAAAAAGTTTTTTTTTGAAATATTTTTTCAAAAATTTCATCAATTATTTTATTTTAACTTACTCCATAGAAATTGAAACATAATCGGAACATTCAGGGTTTCGCGTTTTTTCGAGCAGCCTTGTTAATTTAATTAACGGAGCTAAAATGAATTGTTAAAAATGACAATATAATCTCAATAATAAAATCAAAAGTAATGCTAATAAAGATTTTAGCTACAAAGAGTTGTCACCATTTGTGAAAGTGTCACTGAAAATTTAGAAAGCCAGGAAATTCTTTTTTTTGTTTCAAAGTGTGTAAAAGTGATAGAAATTTTTGGAAACTTTCGAGCGAGGCAAAACTTAACTGTTTAACTAGTCATTTTTGGCCGTGGTTTTAAATAATCTCTTGAAAAGATCTGTAAAAGAGATTGAAAAAAGCTCGATCTGTGATCGTTTTTTAACAGAATTGTTAACGTTTTATTATTTGAGATGGTTCATGAGCAAAATTTGTGAGTTTTTGTGAAATTCGTGTTTATCTTGCGTCCATAACCGTGTTTTCGAAAAAAATGCAAACGTGATTGTTTTGAACGGAAAACTTATATTTTTGATAAGTTCAAACGATTTAATTTTTGATGATTGAATAATGACACAAGTGTAGCTTAGTTTTATCTTAACAAAACATTCATCTTGAGTTTTGAGATTGAATTTTCAGCATCTTTTCAGATATTCAGTTGATTTTTTTTCAGACCTCATACTCGATTCTTTTTCAGGCTGCTGTTGATCAAGCTACAACAGCTATTGCATCGGTGTTCAGACAATTGGGTCACAGACAATTCGGCCAAAGACAATTCAGACAGTTTTAAAGTTTTAAAATGTGCGCGCAAAAATTTTTCACATGTGGCAAAACATCAAAGCTTTCATAAGACGACTTATAATCAATTCCTTGCACATAAAACAAATATAACATAAAACAAAAAATAACCAAATGCACATAAAATAAATATAACCAAGTGCACATAAAACAAATATAATTAACAGAAACAAAAGTACCTAAACATAATAAAATTTTATGCATTTCATTGTTTCCAATTTTAGAATAGTACCTAAGCAAAAATCAAACTCAACAAAAAACTGCACAATACTTAAAAGTTAACCAATTCACGCGAAAGTGGAACCGAGATTGGGAGTTTTACAGTCGGTCAAAAAAGGATATCAGTTAAAGAGTTGACCACCCCTACCACGTTCTGGCCACAAAGTTACGCTGATATTATTATCATGCCTTAGGCGGGGGAGGGTGCAACCGCCTATTAGGTATTTTGGGTAGTTGGTAGAAACTAATTATAAACCTAAACTTCTTTAAAAGATAAACTAATTGCAATTAAAATATTGTCAAATCAGAAACCAGTACCGCGTTTAACGCCTACTTTTTGCAGTTAGATTGTCCATTTACACAATTAACATTGATTAATCTTCATTAGTAAATAGCTTGAACAACTGACTGATTAGTATCTGAGTCATTCTAAATCTTTCACTTTTAGCAAAAGTTGTCGTAAAATGCAATTCGTAACATCTGAACGCGGAAAAAAGCATCTTTGTCTTGATGGTTATAGATACCGTGAAAAAACCAACTTAAAAACGGTCTCATTAAATGGCAATGTGCATTTGAAAATTGCAGAGCAGTGGGTTATTTGGAAGAACAGCAAGAATTCACATTATAAACCGAGCGTTCCCATTTAACGAGCGCCTCAAAAACTCAAGCTAAAAAGTTTGCTAACGAAGTTCGAGATAAAACCGCAAAAACTGGTAACGCTCCACGACAGATTGTCTTCAACGACCAAATTGACCTGCTTCTTTATGCAGCGCCTACAATACCGAATTACTCAACATCTCTTTGAAGTATAAACCGAATCAGGCAGCAAGCCTTAGAAACAATGCCAAAACCAAAAAACCTTGAGAGCGTCGACGAAATTCCTGAACCTCTCAAACTCACACACAGCGGCGATACGTTCCTGTATTTCGATTCTGGTAAGTCGGAGAGTCGAGTTTTTTAGTTTTTGCAACATTACCAGCGCTTGATTTGCTTTCTCAGTCGGAAATCTGTCATTGCGATGGAACGTTTTCAGTGGCCCCAGATGTCTTTTACCAAGTTTATACTATTCATGGTGTAATAGAAAATGCAGTTATACGCTTGGTGTATGCTCTGCTGCCCAACAAGACCAAAGACACATATGAAAAACTTTTAAGCTGCTTAGAGCAATTTGGAAAAAAAAATTGTCATTGATTTTGAAGCCGTTGTTCGCAACGCCATAAGGAAAATGCAGCCTGATACAGAAATTAAATTCTGTTTCTTCCATCTAGGCCAGGCAGTATGGCGCAATGTACAAAAACTTGGTTTTACGCGCAAGTATATGGACGATGATGAGTTTCGGCTGAATGTCAAAAAAATGATTTGCTTGGCATTCGTTCCCGTTGACGACGTTATTTTCGCTTTTGAGGCTCTCCGAAAAGAGGATCCCTCAGAGGAATTTCAGAGTCTATCGAACTATTTTGAAGACTGTCGAGGGAATAGACACGTCAAACCAAAATTTGACATTGCCGATTGGAACGTTTTAAATCGGGTGCTTAGCGGTGAACCTTGTACGAACAATGCATTGGAGGCATGGAATGGCAGCTTCAATAAATTCGTGTCGACAAAGCACCCCGCCCTCCCCAAGCTGATCACACGTTTCAAAGATGAGCAAAAAATGCCGAAATAAATGTAGAGAGACTGATGTCCGGTGATGTGATTAGAAAACCGAGGCCCAAATATACACTCGCCAAAGAGAAACTCGTTCAAAACGCAAAAAACTACAATCAAGACCATATACAGAAGTATTTAAAACTTTGTACCTTCAATGTAAATATATCTTAAGACTTTATGCATAGCAAGTTTGTTTTGATCCTTGAAATTAGTTATTTGATGTTTCACATTTCTTTGTTAAAGCGTTGAAAGCCTTCGGACTCTAATCAAATTAGAAAAGTTTTAAACTTTCCTTTTATCTAGTCCCTTTAATCTAAATAGGCCGAATCGTCTTTGGCTGAATTGTCTGAATTTTTTTGGCTGAATTGCCTGTACTTTAAATCGGCTGAATTGTCTGTGGCTGAATTGTCTCTGCGCCTATTGCATCATGAGCATTATCACAGGGGTTAGAACTGGTTAACAATTTTAAAACCAACCAACAGTGTTTTTTTTTGTAACTTATTTTTCAAATCGTAAACCCGAATCACCAAAATCATAAAATCAAGAAAAAAGGCCCAAAATGAGTGCTGCTCAAACGCAACTGATTCAAGAGGGATAGCATTTGAGCTCTTCTTTCCGACGATGAAAAAATATTTCAATTTGAAACGTCTAGTCATTCGGCTATTCTATTTTATACAACTTCTTGATGGGGTTGTGTCGTTTTTTTTTTGCAAAAAACCCAATGTTTTTATCATCAATTTCGACGACATTAACTCAAATTTGAATTAGTCTGAGCTACTGGCAGACTATCTGGCGCATCTATTTTGATCCAAACATTCAAAATGGGGAGTAACTTAGTCCTTGGGTGTTTTTTTTCCAAGTTCTTTTTCACGCGAATTAAGGTACCCTAAATTCTCATCGGAGTGGTTTAGGTGATATATTCCATTAAAACTTTTTAGTTAGTCGATTGAACTTGTAAAATTTCACAATGTTTTCTCACCGTCGAGAAAAGTCTGTTTGAAAAATTTATTTTTAAATGTTGATTCGATCGAATTAAGCAATCAAGCAGACTTTAAAAAGGGCCATAAGCTTTTAGTTTAGCCATGAAAATGTAATTTTACTCCATTAAGCACAAAACACCACGAACACAAACCTAACAGCTCAAAAAGAAATTTTTAAATTATTTTTCTTATGATTGTGGTCAGATCTTTCAGTGCTACTTGCTAAGCAGCCGGCTAGGCTAACCTTGCTGTGATTTTGCTTTTTCCCCAGATTTTTGTGGTAAAACGGGGTTTTGTCTCTGGCTTAAGATTCGGAGTAACTCATTTTTTATTTCCAGTTGTTTATTTTTCCCGTTAACTTCAATTGTTGCTCATTGCAAGACCTAAAAAATGCCTGCAAGATATAAAGAACCAAGAGTTTTTTTTTCATTTGTACTGCTTAATAAAAAACTGTACACGACAGTTTGGAGAAAGTTAGAACTTGTGATACAATTAGTGATGACCCAAGTAAACTATAATTGAAAGTCTCTTGTGCTTTGGTCTCATATTTGGGTTTGTAAAAAAGAGTCTATTAGTTTTTTGACTGTCTTATGAAATTTTCCAATCTTTTCGCTCCAAAAAGAATTATGCAAACTAATAATCAAAGCAAAATATTTTTTACGTTTCAAGCGTTCAATATATGGAAGACGGGGATGTAGTTTTTTAGTGGTTACTCTTTCCTTCTTTTAAAACTTTTATTAATAATAGTTTTGAAAGATGTCGTACCCAAGTTTCTTAACTTTTCAAGTCTTGCAAAATGAGGCTTTGCAAAGGTTTTTGATTAAAGCGCGAAGTTAAAAACGTAATATGGCAACTTTTCAGCTGTTTACATTTGGTCAAGTGTGATTAGATTAGTTTCTATTGACTGCCGATTTAAGAATTGAAACAGTATAGCCTATGAACCAAGTTGGTTAACTGGTTCTTTTGTTAGCAATTACTCTATTTGTGATTTAGAGAATATTTATCTTATCAAACTTAAGTACTTTTTGAAAATTTGCTGGAAAGGTCAAAACTTTCTGATTCATATAAATCTGAGAACTTTATGCATTCATTTCATGATTTTCTTTCCAATTTGTATCGTCTATTTATTGCTTTCGGAAATTCGGAAATGGACCTTTAGGGTAAATAAAAGTTTGCCTGCCTGAGACAAATTGTAGATGTGCCCTGGAAACAAAGGCAGTCAAATCTAGTGAGCTGTTTATTGAACATTCGAATAATTTTTTTATTTCCGGCGCTCGTAATGATTTCACGTCCGAATGGTTCTTTTCGAATTCCAGCAACCGTAACTTAAAACACTTTAGTTAAATCAAGTTTTCTGCTGGCTGGTAATTCAATCGGGCGTGAACTAAGTGACCCCTTAGGCTTCAAACTGAAGATTATTTGAAGAAATTTGGCCAAGTGGTTTTACCCTTTGGTCTTTTCGTTATTTTCCCCCTCGATTGATTTTGTTTTTCTCAGTCACAAGTATCTCCAATCAAAGAACAGCCAGAGTAATTTACAGGCTAGTATCAGCGGCAGATTTTTACGGTTTCCACAATTGAAGGCTATTTTTACCACCCAGGAAGCGATATGTGGCTCTGATTCCCTGTTTTTTATTAGTACGCTAAATTACAATGCCATTGAACTAGATTCCAATATTTTTTATTTAACTTTCATTAAAACTGACAAAAAAATTTTCAGTTCTAAGCTAAGCGACTTCGAACTTAGGTTCTTGTTTAATATAGAAACCTCACGAAGAGTGGTACCCAAATACTAAAAACAAGTCGCAGTAAAAACAACTAGCACAATGTAAGCAAAGCGACAACTCACAATGATTGCAATTTAGCTTAAATCGTGTCATCGGCAAGTGGTGACTGCTAGCTCCGCTTCGCTTTGCTGTGCTTACTTTCGGTAAGAATATTTTCGTTTTTCAGGCTAATTCGCCAAAAAACCTCTAATTGCTCTCTTCATCTCACCGTTACCGTCTATCTTTTTCAAGTTCGTAATCTTTGATTAGTTAACTCTTTCGCTTTCAAAGCCTATTATAGACCAAAGGTCTACTTACTACACCAAAAAGAGAACAGAAAAAGAAGCGAATGAAAACCAAATCCTTTTTTTTCATCTTTTGGTAGATGGCCCCACATCAAAGAGAAAGTATACAAGGAACCATTCCCAATTTTAAAACTCGATGTGGTCATAGGTTCTCTTGAAGACTAAGCCAACTTCATCTATAATGTTGATTTGTGACGACTAATAAATTTAAATGTATTATAGAAAACTAACAGAGAGATCTACGTTCAGTATGTGATTGAAAATTCTGATAAGAAAAGTCGTCTTTTTTATGAAAAGTTCGACAAATTTACCCTTCATGATACTTTTCCAAATTTCATACTTAAAATTACAATTGGAAGCAACCATATTCAAAGTTTCCTGTGTAAAAATCAGGTTGTGTGTGTTTTCAAAACTCATGAATTGGTTTTGCGTCTCTTCAAGTAGAGTTAAAATCTCGGATTATTTTTCTCAAGGGATTCAGCACCTTTATTGTTCTCAAGGGATTCAACCCCCTTGAAATTTCCCCATTTTGAGGATTACAAAGACATGGTATCTTACTTAATCTTATCTTAACTAACCGGCCTTGAATACTAAGACACAGAGTATCTATGATAGTTCAATCGAAAATATTTTCAGGTTACAGAATATTAAGTGTATCAGGCTTTACCTTATGATAAGGTCTACAGTATCGCGCGAGGCTTTGGCCGATTTAAACTTTATAGGGCATTGTATCAGACATTTCGGCGCTCAGAAATAGGTATGGTATGTTCAGTAGAATATAAATGAGCTTCTGAAATAGGACTTTATTAGAGAATTTTATGATTCTGATTTGATTACGTTTTCCTGGTATATATCTAGAGCCAAGCAATATTCATTCTTCATTTAGAACAATCTATAAATAGCGTCTAGCTTTGGACAAAAGGGTCTGTTTAGATGCGAGAACACAATTGAAAAAATTAGAAACCGCCTATTCCATCAAAATTACGAAGTTCAACAGAAAATATGAATACTACTTCTACAAATTCTTTTCAAGCAGCATAAACAGCCAATTTTCATCGATCATAGCAAAGTCGTTTAAGAGTTGGATACAATTAATTGTTACTTGATATCCAAGTGTTCGTTATGTCTGCGGATAGTAATAAGCCGTCGGAAGAATCGGAGGCTTATCGGAAGCAGTATCATCAACTTGTGTTCACTCTTCTGTTCTTCGCGTGTCTTTTACTGTCTCTTATGGCATCTGTTGTTGTATCTGGTCACAAGTTCATTACCACTGAAGAAACAGTCACAGAGAAAGTGTCTATTGTGACAGAGCATGACAAAGTCGGTAAGCTTTGTAAAATTTATTGTTTTTTTTTCTTAAATTGTTGGTTTAGAACAGAAAGTTGACAAGTTTTGAAGCTATAAAGGTTTCAGGCCGAATTTCAAGCATTTTTTAAACATGAATATTGCCAATATGACCCATTAATCTATCATTGTTCCCATTTTTGAAGAAAGCGATGGGATGCTCTTGTTAGGGGTGTTTTTTTCTCCAGACAAATTTAGAGTTTTAAAGCCTTTTTTGGCACAACTTTTATATCATCTGAAAATTATTGATGTCCTGAGCTCAAAATTGTCAAAATATTTAACTGTGATAACTTTTCTTGCAAATTTATGAGGTCCAAAATATGACAATTTGGCCAAACTAAGATATTAACGCGCTATTAGAAATTGAATAGAGGCATGATATTTGTTGTAATTGTTAAGTTACTGTATCCTAAATTAACAAGTTTGTACTTTAAACAGCATGTGGTTAGTGATCTAACACTGCATGCATCAGGGTGAAGCCTTAAGCACCGACTGACTGCCTTGAAAAATTAGAAAAAATGTATGAAAATGTTTTAAGATTTTTATTAAAATCATCTCCACACGCCATATAAAGTACAAAGTGGCATATTTTGCTCGTAGTAACGTGAAAAGTTTGACAAATAGCCTGCTTCAATCAATTTGGTACAATTTTAAAGAGGACTTAAATATTTGTTCACGCGTTTATAACGAGAAATATATTGGCCGTTATTAAATGAATATTGGCCATTTTGCAATCTTTAAGCCCTCAGAATTTTAAGAAAAATGATTACAGGTGAATTATCGTTTTGAATCTGAGATAAAGACATTAAAACGTTTCGGCTGAAAAAATATTTGTCATAAACTTCTAGTTAACAAGTCGACATTTGCCTGGAGAAAAAAAACTACCCTGAGCTCAAATTTTTCCTCACTTTCTTCGACAGTCGGAAAAAATTAAATTTTAAAAACCTTCTCCACTTTTTTGAAAAATTTACTACATTTTCGAAAATCGAACAGTACGTGATAAAGTAAAAAATATTCAGAACAATCAGGGCGTCGTAGCAATGATACGAGCTGTCCTGCTTTGTTTTATTTTCAAAAGGAAAATAAAATGAACATTTCTCGTTTTTGGCGACCGCAGCCACAAAATTTTCTTAAAAAACGAAATTATCTTAAATTCCAATTTAAAAAAAAACAATGCAAAACATAGGTGAAGCCGAACAAAATTTGTTTTCGTACAGTTTTTTTTTGTGGTAACACTTGTTTTCTAAACCAGTTTTCTTCGAGATTTTTGCTCAATGAATGGCATTGATATTTAAAATAACGCTGTGGCTTATGGATTTGTTGTTTGTGGAGAATGATGACTTTAAAAAATGGTGTGTTGATCTATAGAGCTGGCTAATACTATCCATTTAAAATTCAACAAAATTTCAAAAATTTGGTGTCATTTTAGACAAGAATGTAGGTGTGAGAACAAATTTATTCCGAAAAACTTTATTAAATTGTTATTAATTGAGTTTGGGTCATTTGCAGTTTTGCGTCATTTGCTTGGGTCAAATGTAGCTTGTCTCAGTCAATTAAAAAATTGCGGTGAAAAGAAGATTTCGAAAAAGATCTGGAAAAAAGAACACAAAAATTGTATGAAAGTTTATACACAATAAATCCACCAGTGTTTCGATGGATAGGGTTGGGGAAAAATAGCAATATTTTTCTAAAGCCAATCATTTCGAGTTGACTTTTTCATTTCGACAATCATTTCGACAAATTTTGTCTTTTTAACTAGCCATTTTTGACGGAATTTTATTATTCATTCACAAGATATTGATATTCTTAGCCTAAATTTGAAAAGATGTTTCACCTGTGATCATTTTTTGTAAAGTTATGGGGGTTTAAAGATTGCCATTTTGGCCAATTTGGAACAATTAACGCGCGATATATTTCGCGCTATTAACGCGTGAGCGGAGAGTTAATCCGTCTTAAAATCGTTCCAAATTAGTTGAAAGAAGCTTATTTGCCATAATTGATTTGTTACAATGCGCAAAATCTATTCTTTTGTACTTTATATGGCGTGTGGGGGATAATTTCTTTAAAAAAATTGAAAGTTTAGAAAAAAAAATTTCGTTTTATTTGATTACATTTATTTTTTTTATGCTACTACTGCTCTATAAACCTTAAAAGGCAGTCAGAACATTCAGGGCTTCAACCTGATACCAGCAGTCTAGTTTTACTTTGCGCGCCAAGCAATTATTTAGAGGGCAACTTTTAAGCAATGAATTGAGCAAAAAGTACTTTGTTCCTTGTCAAATTTTTACAGATTTTCACAGGTTGATATTTTTACAAATTTTTCCAGGTTATAATTTTTCAATGATTGATGGCGTAAAAACTTCAAAACAATGCCCGCTGTTTGTTTCGCGAAGCTTTTGATTTAGTTAAGTTAGTACTTGAATGGAGTTCATAACTGCTGGCCATTTTTTTGCAACATGAAAAAGAGCGTGGGTATAATAGTTTGAAACGTTATTGTTACAAACCTTAGCTGGTTTATGTTTGTTTCACATCACTTGATTCATTTCTGCCAGTAAAACGTTAATTACTTCAGAGTCATTTTTGAGTACATCTGGACTATAAAAGAGATTTATGACCTAAGAATTTATGATCGATTCGAATAGCCTAATTGTTGTGATAAACTTATTAAATAGTTTCAGAGAGTGATGAAACACTAGTTGCCATTCTTTGGGCACTGACTACTAACTTCAGCATATTATCCTTGACACCAACAGCACCATTATTCCTGGCATTTTCCTGGCTTCACACAATGTCAACACCAATGCTTCTGATGCTGCCCGACGACTTCACGAAACTCAATCCCGAACAAAAAGATAAGTACTACGTTCAAATATATAACCTTGTCAATGTACTAGCAACATCCAGTAATCCTCCAAACAGTAATCAAAACGCAAAAGGACTCAGAGCACCTATTGATTTTGCTGCCAAAGTAATCCCCACTGATACTCAAAACTTGATTATTGGTTCGAGTTTTTTAGCAGAGTTTGACACGAAGGAGCTGCCCAAAGACGTGGCCGTTCATTCTTACCGCGGGTCATTTTGCAGCGAGAAACAATCAGTTGTGAAAAAGTACGACGATACTGAGCTGAAATCAGTAACCTTCCAGGACGGCACCAATTCACTCACAAGGGAACTACACAAACCTGTAGATGATATATTTGAAACTTTTTGCGCCACCATTAGTGAAATTGAGACAAAGTTTTCACCTACAATAATCAATATATGCCAAGTCCCGCCTGTGAAATCGGGACCCGATTCTGTAAGTGGTAAACGGATAACTGAATTCAACAGCCTTATTGCTCATAAATTTAAGAAAAAAAAGTATCAAATTGTTCCTATATACGATAAAATTGTCAGCATAAACGACTATCAGTCAATCTTCTTTGATGAAGTACATTTGATGCGTTCTGTTAGTACTTTTAAAAATGCAATCATGGAAAAGGTGCTACCATTATCCAGCTTATCACCTCGAGTTGTTTCTCCGAATACTTCCAACTCTAGGGGCCCAGCGCACCCTCAGAGGAATCGTATGAAACCTGGTTCAAGCCAAGTCTCGTGGGGCCCCGAGCACCCAAAGAGTCTTGCGAGCCATGGTTTCAGCAACAATCAAACCTACAATTATATGAATACCAATCGTAGTAATTATGACTTACGCCATAATAGATACTATCCATACTAATGCTGTTTTAGTAGTCTATGACCCAATGATCTGGATCTATCAAATTTATGTTTAGCCAATGGCTTTTAAAGACTCTCCTTATTTTCTCCCTTTTAACTAGCATTCCCATTAAGTACAATGAACCCAACAGCACCGCACTACTCAAAACTAGAAACATGACGTCTAACCGCCACTTTAGATTCACAGCTGGCATCTATTGCGCAGTTGTGATACTAACCTTTCAGATTGGAATGTTGGAAATCCTGCTTCTTCAATGTGGGGACATCGAAGTCAATCCAGGTCCCGCACTTTCATATGAAATCCTGGCAAACAAAGCAAAGGAACACCACAACTTCCTCAAATATATAACTCTAAATTGTAGAAGCATAAAGAACAAACACATGGAAATGCGTTTCTTGTCAGAAATAGTTGACTCAAACACAATTATCGGTCTTACGGAAACCTGGCTTGACGAAACATGCGATCATCAAACTTATTCATTCTGCAAAACAACCCATGAAATTTTTAGATGCGACCGTAACAAAAAATGCACTGGTCAACACGCAGGTGGTGGTACTCTTCTTCTTATTCCGAAAAAATTTAACCCTAAGATTCGAGAAGATTTAAATTATCTACGTCCCTCCCATTTTGAAGGACTCTGGGTGGAATATAGCCCAATCATCTCAAAAAAATCAAAAAAACAGATAATTGCTATTGCCTACAATCCACACAAACAATTCAAGGAAATTTTTATAGAAGATACACTAAAGGGTATCGATTACGCTGCCTCCGAAGCGCGAGATGTTACGATTTTGGGAGATTTCAATATTAACTACTTGAATAAACATGAAGCTAAATTTCTCAGCGATTCTATTAAACCATACAATTTGTCAATAACCAATAAGTCGATACCGACATACAACTCTAAAAACAGCCAATCCATTTTAGATAACATTATAGCAACCAAATCTCTTTGTAAAGAAACTATTGTAGCAGAACCACCTATAAACACGGACCATTTAATAACAATGTGTATTAGCAAACTAAAACGATTCGAAAAAGCCATTCCAATTCGAACTTTTCGCTTCAACAAAACCAATTATTGTAAAAATAGGTTCTGCGAGGAACTTAAACAGAGTCCATGGTTTCTCGTCTACCAAGAAAACGATATCTCTAAAATGTTAATAAAATTTGAAGATATTTTCTCGCATGCCCTAAACGCTCACGCACCACTAGAGCAGAAGTATATCCGAAATAAACCGCAGCTACAGCTGTCTGGTAAAGTACTTAACTCAGTCAATAGACCTTTAAAACAGGAAAAAGAAAATCTTCTAAAGGCATATCAATTATCAAGAACAGATGCCAATTTTGAAAACTATAAACGAATAAGAAATAAAAACAACAATCATCTAAAACATTTATACAAGAAAGAGAAAACAGCTCAATTCAAAATGCTTGACTGTCCAAAAAAACAATGGAATTTCATAAACTCTATCAGGAACACCATGAAACAGGCAACGCAAATAGGTGATCTACGGAATTCTTTTGGCGACACTATAATTGAAAATAAGAAGAAAGCAAATTTCCTTAACTACAGGTTCTCAACATTAGGAGAATACAAAAACGCAGATCCTCCCATAGATGTACCAACTGAGTACAGTGTACACAGCAAAACAAATAGGCACTTTCAATTCAGGTTCATAACTCACAAAGAAATGAAAGATGCAATTTTATTACTTCCCTTAAACAAGCCATTAGGACCAAGCAAAATCCCTGCTTGGGCTCTAAAAGACAGCATTAATACTGTAAACCCAATTCTTACGATGATTATCAATGAATGCATCTCGAAATCCGTATTCCCATATACCTTAAAAAAGGCACACGTTTTTCCCATATTCAAAAAAGGCGACTCCACAGATCCAGTAAATTATCGTCCAATTTCTATTACACCCACTCTATCGAAGTTGTTTGAAAAAATTTTCTCATCCCAAATTCACGAATTCCTAGCAAATTCCAATATTCTAAATCCAAAACAATTTGGCTTTCGTCCAGGTTATTCAACTAATGATGCTCTTTTATACACAACAGAAAAAATCAGATTCCATCTCGATAAAAATAACATAGCAGCGGCTGCATTTCTTGATTTATCTAAAGCATTTGATTCACTCTCTCATTCAGTCCTTGAAAGGAAACTAAGTCACATTGGCTTTGAACAGTCAGCAACAACTCTTATTAAGTCATTTCTAGAAAACAGACAGCAATTGACAATAGTAAACGGCGAGCACTCAGATTGGCTTAAATTAGAGCAAGGTGTTCCCCAAGGTACTGTACTAGGACCACTGCTGTTCAACTTGTATGTAAATGACTTACCACAAACAATAGACAAATCATGTACGTTAGTACAATATGCCGACGACACGACTCTGCTTAGTTTTCATTCAGATCCCGAAACAGCAACAAAGAGCATTGAAAACAATTTCAATAAAATTCTCTTGTATTTTCACTTAAATCGATTAATGATTAATGTAGACAAAACTCAGTTCATTGTATTTTCTGCACCGTCGAAAAAGAAACTAACTGAAAATCTTTCATTGAAAGTTGGAAACTATCAAGTTAAATTAACAGAGACAGTTAAATTTCTCGGCGTCAATATTGACATAAGCTTAACATTCGACAAAGAAATTAACAAAATTTTACAAAAAATGGCTACAGCAATCCAAACGATAAAATGCATCCGTGACGAAATCCCTCTGCGTACTAGAATTCTCCTGTTAAATACTCTTGTACTGAGCCATTTGCACTATCCATGCATGCTCTTAAACGGATGTACGCAAGATAATATTGAGAAACTCGAAAAACAAATAAAATGGGGAATCAGGATCATAATGAATATAAGCAAACGAGATTCCGTTACACTTCTAAGGAAACAGCACAAAATTCCTACTGCTCGGAATATTATCGAGTACCGATCAGCACACTACCTTCACAGGTTATGCCGAAACGATGCCCCAGCTTTCACGCATATAAGATTCCCAAATTCTGAATTCCGCTATAACCATCGAACTGGAACATTACTGTTCCCTTTAACATGTAAAACTGATTTCCTTCGTAAGTCTTTCTTATTTACATCAATCAGGAACCTTAACACAATAATCCGAACCTTGTTTAATCGAAAACTGCCGTACACATTGACAAAAACTCTGATTAAAAATTTCATCATAGGAAAAGATGACACCCTGTTACCCAATAAGGAGAGTCTTTCCGTATCCAAGGACATTTTTTTGTTAAATCAATTATTTGATTCAACCTCGTAGTATTTTATGTTTTTTCTTGTTATGTTATATAACCATTGCGTAATATTGTACACTAGATTCTTATACAATCAGTTCTGCAACTGCATAAGTATATTGAAACAATAAAGTGTCCCCTCTCTCTCTCCTCTCTCTAGTAGGAAATGAGGGCGTTTTAAAAAATAATTCAATCGTACGTTTAAATTATGGGTTTTAGCCATCATATTTTTTGGAGTTGGCAACTATCTGGAGTTATGCAGTCTCATTTTCCTACAGCCTGGATCCCTGGAAATTGACACTCTGTTCGCCAAAGGGGTTCCCTGTCAAGGTCAACAAATTAACATTCCACTCAACTCCAGTGACATACAATACCTAAAAGATCACCCGCTTAATGGAACTGCAGACTTCGATTCTTATATCAACTCCTACATTTTGAACCATTTCGCTAATGTGACGGCCTCCCACCAAAGGTATAAACTTACGCCGAGCTTAACATAATCTAAACTATCTAGTTTTTTTGCTTCGGTTAGATTCACAAAAACTTGGGAAGATTCTTCCAGCACGATACAGCCAAAAGAGCTTCTTAATGATAGCTCGCTGTACTAAATGCAAAACCTTACCAATAGCTGTAGTTACAATAGCAAAATTGCAATAAGTCAATAAATAAGCCCATTTGGAGCGTTGATAAAAACGCGTTTCCAAGTCAATATTTTCTAGGGTTTCGGTGGGCATTGGAAACTCAAAATCTCTGGTCTAAAACATAAAATTGGACGACATAATAATTCACACTCCCTCCTCCCTTCACAAAAATCCAGTGAAAAGTACTGACTTAACTCATTGGGCTTTTAGTGGTGAGAGATCAGAGATGAATCTAACGATAACAGTGATTGAGGGTCCCTCTCTGTGGCAGGAGAAGGAAACTGTCTACGCCAAAATCAGGTCCCCCAAAGATGACTTCCTCCAACCCATGTACCTACTCATGCAGTCGCAACAAACAGAAGACAGGTTAATTAAACTTTGGAACTATTATTCAGAATAGTATTATTATTATTTATTCCGATACTTAGTACCTACATTACGAGGCCAAACATTGCACTGCATAGACGCACAATTTTGTGTCTGTATGTTCCTGGGTTCCATAGACAAGTCATACCAATAAATTCTTAATGCTTAATAATAATCATAATAATAAAAAAAATTGTTTCCAAGTGAAGTCATCACACGTATAGAATTACAAATGAAGAATTCTTTTTATAAAAAAATCACTTAAGAGAGCACCATAAAAATCAATTAAGCTTGTTTTCAGGAGTCTCAGAGCGAGAATCAAAATTGTTTTTTTTCTGGTACCCTTGAAGTTAGGGGGCAAGAAAACCTTGAGATGAGAGCCCCACTTGATCACAAAATAGTTAAAGGGTAAAATTTTACCGTTTGATAAAAATTGCGGGTTTACCAGTATAATCATATTGATGATCATCATGTTAAAAAGTTTTTTAAAATTTTGCCGAAAAACAGTGGAAGAAAATACAGTTTTAATATATTTTAACTACAAAATGGCTTATTTGTCAGATCACTGTTAGCTTGACTGTAGTTATCTAAAAGTTGATTGATGGTTGAAGTTTTTAGTTCCTGTTCATTGAAACTTTTTGTCATTTCTGAAAAATTAGGAAACAAACAGACCAAACTGTTGAAGAGTACTTGCGTTCTGGCGGCAATCAAGTGCTTTGATGCAAACTTTGAGTGTATTTCAACAGCTCTCGCTAAAGTTCTTTTAGTTTTGAAACTTTTTGTTGCATTTCCTAAACATTAAGTTTTTGTAAAAATTCAGATTAGCATTCACTCCGTATTACTCTCCGCAAAACTTTTAGCAATTGGTAAAACTGTATTTCTGAATTTTATTTTGTTTCGATATGTATTAAATTGAATCCCTGTTTTATTTGTAACAAATTGTTTTTACAAAACGTTTCAACAGCATTTCTAGGTGTTCCAATTTTGTTTTATCAGTTGATGCGTAAACGAGGACTCCATATTGTAAAACTGGCTGTCTTTTGTCAAATTTGTTCTCAGTTTCTAAAAAGCCCACAGTACTGGCTTACGTTTTTTCTAAAAAACAATTTGTGGTTTTCGACCGTTAAGTTTTCAGGTAATTCCAAGATAATTAAAACTTTTGATTTTTTCTATTTTTTGCCATTAATTGTTGTATCTTGGTGATCTGCTTTCAGACTATTAAATGAAGAGGTTGTTTTCATGACTGTATTATCCGCATGGGGTAACGTGCTATTAACTTGTCGAGGACTGTTGCTTTTTTCTATTTCTTTTATATATATGAGGGATAGAAGAGGGCCCAATAATGATCCCTGTGGGACATCAAACTTTATTCTTTCAACTTTTGATTTTTATCTCGTACCCACAATGTTTTCTGTTTGCTATATAAGATTTGAATAAAAAAAAGTAGGTCATGTGACCCCCTAAATCCACGTGACTCACTGCTTGCTACCTAATTCCGATACTTACTAACAAATCAACACATTGCTTTTATCATACAGATAGCACGCTTGCGTCAAACACAGTCGAACACAAACTTGATTTGATGCAGTCTGTTGAAACATAGCCAGTTCGGGTCGAGAGGTTCAAAATATAGCACGCTTGGGTCGAACCCAGTCAAAAAAGTTTTGCTTCAGTCGAATCTATCGAAACGTAGCCAGTGCCAGTTTTGATCGAGTCGGTCGACTCATTGCTCGCTTAAGTCAAACACAGTCGAACACAGTTTTCCATTGATCGAGTGGCTCGAAACCTAGCCAAATTGGGTTGAACACAATCGAAAACTTTTTTTCCTCAGTCGAGTAGGTCGAAACATACGTCGAACACCCCAAGGAGCGCTTGGGCAAAGAGCGCTCGCCGAAAATTTTTTTTTGTTATTGTTAAAAAGTTTTCAGATTTTGCCTGAAAAACCTATCTTTCATTCAAAACATTAAGTTAAAACCTGGATACAAATGAAAAAAGAGAAAAAAAGAGTATATCTGCAGCGCCTTCCTTAATATAACTAACTGGGTTAATAAGTGCCCCTAACTTATGTAACTGCACCATTCCCCAATCCGCAAGAAACCGGCGATTGTTCTCTCCGAAAGCTAGCTAAACGATTTCATAGAGGAACTCTGATGAAATTTCACATCTTTACAAATCAATTCTTTTTCAAACAACACGGTTTTTGTTGTCAATATTATATATTGTAAATATTGTCATGGTATCTCAATATTATATACATTTTTAGATTACAAGGGCAATGTAAGTTTCTGTTTTTCATTCCGTTCGAGGCGTGTTTGGCGTCCAAATTCCAACTGAAGCGGAGGCCGCGGCGGGTACTGCAGCTACCGGAACATTAGATGAATCTGTTATTTCAGTAAATGGAACAGCCAATGGAGCGTTTGCTGCCTGTACCATCGCGACATTAGAAGATGTTGTTAATGATGATGAGGATGATTGCGACGATTCAGGCTGGGATGCAGTCAAGGTTCCCGCGGAACTTGTGGCTGCACTACTAGTCAGCGAAGATATACCACTGGCTGAGGATGCTGTATCTAGTTTTACTCCAATTACTGCATGACTTATGGTGCTTTGAGTGACAGCTGCCACATTTTGAGTTGTTATCGTCGGACCACTTGCGGTGGTTGTCGTTGGAACACTTCGGGATGTTGTCGTTTGAGCACTTTGGGTGGTAGTTGTGGGGACACTTTGGGTGGTAGTTGTGGGGACACTTTGGGTGGTAGTTGTGGGTACACTTTGGGTGGTTGTCGTTGGAACACTTTGGGTGGTAGTTGTGGGGACACTTTGGGTGGTTCTCGTTTGAACACTTCGGGATGTTGTCGTTGGAACACTTTGGGTAGTAGTTGTGGGAATACTTTGGGTGGTAGTTGTTGCAGCCCTTTGAGTAGTCGTTGGTGCGACCATATTTCTAGCATCATTTTCGAGTTTGATTACCTTCTGATTCATGCTAGATTGGTCAGATTGAAGTGTCCTTATGCTGGTTTCGATTGAATTTATCTGAAATTCGGAGTTCTGGGTTTTAGTTTTGAAATCTGAAACATTACTTGCAAGCTGCGCGCTACATTCGTCAATTTTCCTTTCGTTTTCTTGAATCGATTTTAGTAAGTCGGATCTGACCTGATCTATGCCGCTCGTAGCTTGCCTGCTATCAGTTGTTTGTTTTGAATTGATTTGAGAAAATAAAGAATCTAGTTCACTTTCCTTTTGCTTCATCGATGTTATGTCTTTTTGGATCGCAGATATTTTGTTATTTGTTGATCTTTCGAAAAACTCATCGATGTTCTTATCCGAACTATCTACTTGATTTTTCGTTATTTGATCCTGCAAATGCGACATCTTATTTTGCAGTTCCTCTATCAACTCCAGATTTTTAGTCCCTTTATTCATGATGTTATTAATTCTGGCTTTGAAGGGGCTGGTTAGCTCTTCAAGATTCGCGATTTTTTCAGAATTAGAATCCGATTTGGACGTTTTATTTGTTTCGAGTGCTTCAATGCGACGCTGCAACTCTTCGATTTTCAGCTGAGCGTTTGTAAGCCTCTCTAATAAGATAGCAGATGTCGCTATACATCCAATCAGCAAAATAAACATGACAAGAAGAAAACTTATTTTGACAAACTTGAATAAACAGCTCGGTTTTTTGGTTTTCGAAACGACCATGGCTCTTCGCTCCCCTTTTTGTTCGACATTCAAAGTCATAACCTCTTCTTCGTCTTCGGAATTACGAGCGTTTCCTGCCAAAAGCGACTCGGTGTCATTGCCAAATTCTTTTTCCGAGTTGTTCCCTCGGAGAGACATCAAGTTTCGTGTTAGATTCAGGTTGGCGTTTATTTAATCTATCGCGTGTAAAACAAAAGTTCTGTTCAATCATGAAAGTTTATGCTTTTTATACATTCAATAAAAGCAACCAATGCAAGTAACAATTAAAATCTCGGTAATTGGCAGCAGCAATGAACCAGCTTAAAATGTTCTTGAAAATTTACTATATAAAAATTTGGTCTACTGTTTTCACACTACCATATAGAAAATATTTACAAAGTGAAAAAAACCAAATATTGCTTAGCCGCAAATTATTAATAGACACCCCGCAGATAGCTTGGACTACCAATTGAGAAAAATTGGCGTTTTAAACTTATTGTATAGTTTTGCTTTATTGAAAAACAGCTATCACCAAAATAAGTAGCAAAAAAAGTAATATGAAACTTTACTCATCCTGCTTATGCAGATTTGCTAAAAACACCAATTTAATGTCAATAAGCAAATTAATGAGCCAGTGAGTAATAAATTATTTTTTCATCCCAGATTTACTACTCACTGGCTCAGAAATTTGATCAATGACAGAAAATCGGACTTTTAATAAAAACTGCATAAATCGTACAAGTAAAGTTTCTATTTTTTTAATTTCTTTTTGATTTTTGCTAACGTATTATAGTGATGGCTGTTTTTTAAAATTGGAAGGGTTGCAAGGAATTGTACGACTAAACGTTTTAACTTCTCGAAATTAACGCTGTAGACTGCTGTGTATTGGTGTTATCAGATGTTTGGAAGCATCAATCTGCTTACGCTTACAAAAATTTGATAACACTCATACATAATTGTATCCTGAGATCTTTTTTCAAAATTTGAAAAAACTAGTCATCCAGTTCCCTACAAAATTATTGCAAACCTTTTCATTCAAAATTTCATACCAGTGAAACCGAAGCTGTTCCGAAACCAGTGTTAAGTCTTTCAGAACATTTTTTGATGTTTTTATTGTCAAGCCAATGAATAGGTTAAATAGTTAAGAAATAGCAAAACTCTGACAATGAAAGTCTTTTCAAGGGAAACGGCGCAAGATTGGCATGAAGTAATTTTAAAAAATCAATCATTGGTTGACGTTTTCATCTTGGCGATTTGTATAAATTCATTTAAAAAATATACGACAAAAAAATTTAGGCTCCAGCAACTCCATACTTTAAGAGAACTAGAGAACTACAAGAAGATTTATGATTAGTTTTTTTGCTGTGATTGACGCCAGGGGCGGATCTAGGATTTTTTCGAGAGGCGTTTTTTCAAAAAACTTTTAGAAAACTTTTAGTCGACATTTTTTTTAGGTCAATCAAATAAATTGTTTGAGCTCTCTCAAATCATTTACAAGTCCCTCTGTTGACTTAAGTTCTGCGCAGCGTAGTGTTCCGCAAATTTATGAAGAAACAGGCCAAAAAACATTTTGGGGCTATTTTCAAAAAATTTTTGGGAAAAAATGGCTGTTTTTCTGGCGTTCTCTTCTCTTCAAAATAAATATATCCTGACATACCTAATTTATGCTCCAATGACCAGAAGAGTGGCAAAAACAATGCCATGGTAAGGAATCTTTTTTATCATTTTGATGCAAAGTGATTATAAAATGATAAATGCAAAGTTTTCACTAAGTGAATAATGATAAAATAGAAACTTCGAAAAGTCTATTTAGATTTGATTCAGCTCATTTTCCAGCCACCGAAGTAACGAAACATGACCGCGCTGTTAATTTTTTGGAGCATAATTTTCATCTTTTACTCTCAGCCTAAAATACAGCGGTTTTTTTTTCTAAATTATATCCAAAATGCTGTTCAGTCTGATTAGGCTGGAAAATTCGACGTTAATTGCACAGCTACCAGCTACTTTTTTCCGAATTAAAATGGTGTTACCTACATCTATCTGTACAGGTGGAGTAAACAGAATAAGAAAACTAGTAGTCCGACAACATTTTCTTTTTGTCTTCACCTTTTTTAAGTAAAGTTGTCATACCAGTAGATAAAGAGCATAACGTTTTATTTTATTTAGCTACTCCCTTTTTAAATTATTTTTTCATTTTTTGCTCTAATTTTTGTTTTTTTTCTCTAAAGTCATAGATTTTTCGATCAAGTAGCAGCATCATAATTAACTCTGATTTTCATAAATGTTTTTTGATTTTCAATGTTTTCATCAACAACTAATAAAAGTTTTCTGTAAGTAATTACAAAAAAAAACTAGAGTCGATTTAACTTTTGCTCTACTCTTGGTTACGACCTGACTGCAACCAATAAGAACTAAATTTACCAGTTTTGAAGTGGTTTTTTTATTCAGATAAAATTCGGCTATCAGTTTTCAGCAAGTTCATTTGGAAACAGTACGAAGAAACCAATTCCTTGAGATCAAATTTATGATTACGTTTTACGTGCGATACTTGTCCATATTTTCAGAGTGATCTGAAATTTTTCAGTTGAGCATGGCTCTGGAGTAGCTTATGCCTGCATAATGAAATATATCTATGCTGCTGCAATTGCAACGCGAACTATCTGCATTCAAAATCATTCCAATTTGAAGTGACGCAAAGTATTAATTCACTTTAACTCCCTAATTTTCACAAATTTTGTAGCTATCCAATGCAAGCTGCTGGGGAGAAAAAACAATCAAAGTTCAAAGTTTTTAGTATATCAAAAGCTCAAAAAATGCATTATCTAAAAGTTTTTGAGACCACCTAAAAAGCAGTTTAAAAATTCAAGGTTTTGCTGAGAAAATTTCAAGGGGTTCTATAATTTAATACCAGTCAATTCAACACCGTTCATTTTACTACTTAGTCATTTCACTAGTAGACAAAGAAAATCCACACTAATTTAACTCCTATTTTATAACGTAACACCCAAGTTGATGCTGCATAAACTCCTTATCTTTACTCCAATCATGCCAAAAATAATCCTGCAATTAACGCCTTCCTTCCCAACAAAACCGAAAAAACCTCCGATCGCTTTTTGCAGGGTTTATTAGGATTAGTAGCGAACTACCGGCCTGAAAAAAATTGTTAATTTTGAGCAAGCTGCTCTTCAGTCCTTTCAGAAAAGTTCACTGGAGCTATTATCGGGTTGTTTTTATCTGGAATGTTTCTTTAGTCGTTCCAGCTTACTCTAAATCAGAATTTCATTAACCATTATGTTTTGAACATACATGTGTTGGAAAAAAAACTAGATTAGGATCCGGGTTTTAACTCAGAGGGATCAATGCCTAGCTAGAGAATTTAGGCTGTTTAATTTTTTAAAAATCTAGAATTAAATTGAATCTCAATTTTTGGCAAATGGATCTCATTTTTTTCAGCTTCAAATCAATGCAGACCTCCATCAGCTCATCGTATAACCTCGAAGCCCTCTTCTCTTTCAATGATTTCATCAGCAAAGAGATGACGTCATTCCGACTAGTCGCTAGTGAGACTGCGACTATGTTCACAATGAATGATGCCACCATACTGCATGAACATAAACAAGTTACCATGCGGAAGATTCACGCAGAGGTAATATTGATTTTGAATCATTG